GTTCAGGGTTTAGGGTTTTGGCTTTATAGGGTTTAAGGGTTTAAGGGTTTATAGGGTTTAAGGGTTTAAGGGTTTGAGGGTTTAGGGTTTAAGGGTTTAGGGGTTTCGGGTTTAGGGCTAATGTGCTTCAAGGTTGAGGGGTTTTTAGGTTTCCGGGTTATTGCTCTGGAGCCTTACAGTAGGGTCTAGGACAGTGTAGGAAGTCTCGGGTACTAAGGTGTAGGGTGTCAAGGTTTAGGTTCGTTAACCCCGAAACCTAAACCCTAAAACCCTAAACCCTAAGACCCTAAACCCCTTGGTGGGTTTCTGGACCCAGAGCTGAAATGAATTTACCCCTGACGCGAAGGATGCGATTCCTTGTAGCTTGGGATGGCAGCGAGCTCCTTGGCGGTCACTTTTTGCTTGTAAGGTTTATAGGGTTTAAGAGTGTAGAAGCTGAGAGTCTAGAGTTGATAGAGCCTGTAGTAGTTATTCGGCTTCCAGGGTTTGGGGGCTTTCGGATTGACCTATATTGACCTCGTTTTTTGTTGCTTGTGGGTCTTTGGTGAAGTCTGAGGTTGGGTACGCTAGCCCTGCGGGCAACCATCCACGTGTTGTCTCAGCCGGGGGATCAGCTGTGGGGCCCTCAGGGGACGCGCCTCTTGCGGCGTTCTGTACTACTGTAAGTCATTCGTTCGTCATTTTACCCCAAATTTGAAAAAGGTACCTTTAGTGGCTTGAGATGTAATTAGCTGCTTTGCGATTTTCGCTGGATGAGGCTCGTGTACCATGTACGAAACCCTGGAAGGCAGGGCCCTGCGCTGCTGCTCGCTCACTGTGGCCGGTGTTCAGAACTGTGAAAGCAGGGATTCTGTTCAACCTACCTTGCAGCCCGCAGGAGCTAAGCAAATCGGCTCAAGCCGCTCTTTTAAGCATTTGGATCTAACCCTTGTCGACCATGTGGCGGCGCCTTGCGGTTTTGGCATGGTTGGCGTGGATGGTAGAGGGCTCAATCGAGACCTCTTGCTTGATGCAATTCTGACTAGGATGAGGCGTGCTGTCAGCAGGCAGACGCTTCAAAGGCTGTAGCTCAAGCAGCCATTGGACAGAGCAGAGCCTGACCCCTCGCAGCCGACGTGAAAGAGCGAGCGCATGCAGATACTGCAGCAAACTTCGGGATTCTCTCTTGGACGCAGGGAGGAGCTCTGGACGCTGTTCTGGTCTACCAGAAAGCGGGCTCACGGTACTCCAAAGGATCATCGAGATGGGAGTTGAGCGCCAATCTTACGGAAATTGCTGCTCAGAATGTGTGCTTGACTGAAGGCTGGGCGAAAACGGAAGTCGCCATCAGCGGTGCAAACTTGGTTGCGGCTCCAAAGGCGCGACGATTTCCGGACAGAGTTGCTTGGCACACCTTCAGATTCGATGGCGTTTCTTGGGCGTGGAGGCTATCTTCGCAGCGACCGATTTGCGTTTGGGCGGAAATCGGGTCGTACTCTCAATGTCGCAGAATGGCAAGAACAGATTTAGGACATTCGAACTGCCAGCATCAGGGACAGGCGTCTGCATGCTTTGACTTTCCATCCAGCAGCAGTGTCCTTCTTGTTATGGATGATCAGACCAGCTTGGTTGCACGCCGATATTTTCGACAAGGGGAGGCAGTGGTGTCGACGGCTCGGATCTACGATTGGAATGGCACCGGTCACCAGCACCTCGTGGCTGGGACCAGTGTCGAGCATCAAAGATCCGTACAACCCAAATGCGTCCAACCCCACGGCTTCGAATTTGATTGACGTACTGGACATCGACGGCAACTCTCTCATCGTCGCCTGTCATTTGTTTCCCAGAGTCGACTACACTGTCATTATCTACGAGCGCCAGGAGGACTCCTGGCCATTGGTCTTTCGGACGGTGCTGGACGAAAATGAGACCGGCTTTGTAGAGGTTTCAATCTCCAACTCTGGCATTGCGGCTCCAAGTCTCAACTCCAATGATTTGGATGGCACCTTCAGGATGTTTGAAAGCTTTGATGCCCAATGTGCCCATCGACAGGCGGGGCGACGTCGGAATCTCAAAAAGAGCTGCTCTCCTTGCAGGCTTTGATCGATTTGAGGAATCTGGTGATCGGAACTGCATCCGAACCTCCCATTACTACGCTCCCGCTTCCTACAGTCAGAGTCACTGCCGGCGGTGCGAGGGGCCACCTCCCCGCCGCCCAATCCGCCGAACTGCTTTCTGCAAATTCTGCCGCCGCTGTCGCTACAAGACTTGGCAATAGCATGATTACTATTGTTGTTACTGTGTTATTCATTGTGATTATGATTGTTATTATTATTGTTATATATTGTTACTGTTATTGTTATTGTGATTATTATTACTACTATTATTACTATGGTTATAATTATCATTATTATTACTATTATTAAATTGTTACTATTACTAGTATTATTGTTCTTACTTGTTATCATTGCAGAAGCTTCAGTATTGCCGGAGATGCCAAGACAGCCCCATGAGCTTTCTCAATTCGGTACTGTACTCCGCATCCTGTGATAAGTGAACTCAAAAGAAACTTAATAATAATAATAATAGTAGTAGTAGTAGTAGTAGTGGTAGTACAGTAGTATTAATAATGATCGTTAATAGTAGTAGCCATAGTAGTTTTAATGTTAAACAACAAGAAGAAACATACTTCTAACAATAATAGTGATAATAAGATCAATGATACAGACGCGAGGTCCACAACTTTAATGAAGTCCTTCGCAGGGCTGCAGACGCTTGCAACAGTGACAAGCAGTGCACGGTAGGGTTGCAAAAGGTTCCTTTCCTCATCCAAGCTCAGATTCGGATGAGCTGCAAGCTGAAATGGTCAAAAGCGGAGGAGCACCAAGGCCCACGTCAGTTGAAGTCTTGTCTGAAGATGATTGGAAACGAGCCAAGAGTAGTTTATAGGTTAGAGCTATCTGGGCCGGTTTTGAAGTTTTGAAGTGCCCAGTGTTTTGAATAGCTTGCATGTTCCTCTGGGCGCATCCTTCCTATGGTTACAGCCGTTGAGGAAGGCTCTGCATTGAGGGCATGCTTGCGTATTCCCATCTGCGGAAAAATATGCGAGAGGTCAAACAATGCAAGGATACGTGTGGGACTGTGGGAACAAGCTTCACATGCGTGACCGGACTCCGGAGTGGGTAAAGGTTTGGGTGTGTTGCCTTCAGGGGGAATCTCTTGGTGGAAAAGCCCCGACTGGCTGGGCGCCTTCCGACAGAACCATCCTCGATTGCAGAGTCCGAGTCGCAAGAGTCCAAATCAACCTTTCCTTTCTTCAGCCAGGTATGGTGCATTGGATGAGTTTGAGTTCGGCAACTTGCAAAAGCGCCTGTCAGAGGTCAGCGTTGGAGCGCTTTGGGTTTAGGTCTTTGGATGTTTATCAGCTGTCAAGGGTCTTTTTTTTTGACGGGCTTATCAAGCTTCTCTGGTGTTTCGGGTTTGGGCTTAGGGTTTATGGTTTCAATAGTCTGGAAGTGCTGCTTCCCAGCTGATTGGCAGAGTCTGGGTTCAAAAAAGGGCGAAGCGGTCAGGTATTACGGTTTGGGGCCTTGCTTGTGGGTTTAGGGTTTAGTCTTGTACTTATTGCAGGCTCGTTGGTATTCGGGGAGGGGATGAGTTTTCAACATGGAGGGTGCCTTCTCAGACGACCTTACAGCACAAGCAGTTCGGTCCCTTGTTTTAGTCCCTGAAATTGCCACCAAATGTGCTGCACAGTGAGTCTTCAACAGGACAAAGGTAAATTATTAGCACCACTAGCAGTGAGAAAAGTAAGATCTTTTCATATAGGGCACTCATCACCCTAAGTATTATCCTCAAAAGCCTGTCCGGCCTAGACTCAGACTTTTCCTAAGTCCCCATGATCCGTCATATGAAGCAGATGGCAGGAGCTGGAGGGAGCTCGTGGCCTTCGCATCCTGTCACAGCAGAAGTCTGGAGAAATGGATGAGGCGGTGCTCCGGGCATGCTAGTTGTGAAAACAAGTATAACATTGTTTGAACTATGCAATTAGATCTTGGCTTGTGATGTTGATAGAAGATGATGACGATGAGGGTGCATGTGTCTCTGTCCCTGTGTGTGTGTGCGTGCTTGCGTGCATGTGGACTTGTGTGTTCCTGCTCCGATGGTCGAAGCATATCACTGGCTCAAAGCTAAGTTGCTAAGCCTCCTTGCCGGCTCCTTGCCATGGGGTCTGCTGCTTCTGTGTCGGGTGCAGCGAAGCTGTCAATTCAGCCTGAGCAGCTCCGTTGCAAAAGAGCGATTGCTAGTCTAGCAGGTTCCAGCGGTCGAAGTTGCTACCCGACATTGTATATAAGCATGCGCACCTATAGACCTATTGAGTCAAGCTGGAGCTGCCAACAGGCTTGAAAGGCTCCGTGTTCCAAGTTCCAAGGCTTGTCGATGCAGTGTTCGATGTCTGCGACTTGGAGGGAGCAGGTCGCCTTTGCAAGCAGGAGCCAATAATAGTAATGATAGTGACAATGATCACAAACAATCTCTCTCTCTCTCTCTCTCTCTCTCTCTCTCTCTCTCTCTATATATATATATACACAGTATAGTGCAAAATCTTGCCTGAGATGCCTGAGGGAACCCCTGTAACTGAGATGCTTGAAGTGCGTTGTGTTCCTCGGTCTTGAAGCGCTGTTAGTGGTTGGGAGAGCGCCATAAGCCGCACAGTTTCCAGGAGATCCGGATGGCGTTGTCAGGCCTGTGTTTTCATGTTGTTATTTCATGAATACAGTGATTACAGCCGCTGTGGATTCACGCTTTGCCCTTCTTGCGCAGTACTTCTCCTACTGACTGTTACTCCCTTGCACTGCCGGCTTCTAAAAGTGTGTTCCTGAAACCGGTGTATACACAAGCACTCACACCCTTGTAGAAATTCTGCTGTAGCATCCCTGTATATATATATATATGCATGCATGAATGCATACATACATACATACATACAGATATAATATATATATATAATTACCTGCCCAAAAAACCAAAGCCCAGGGTCGTTGGCCAAGAACTGCCAGGCCTGGGTCTATCCGGCAAGGAGATCGAGGAAGAGCTCGGCCGAGCCGAGTTCCATGCATTGGTGAGCGAGCTCCAGGAAAGTGGCTGCGAGGCCGGGGTGTAAATTTAGGGTTTAGGGTTTAGGCGATGTGCTGCGGGTGGGCTCCAATCAAGCCTGTGTAAAAAAGGGGGATTGAGAGTTATCTACAGGAAAGCTGGCGGGAGGCCGGGATGTGTACATGTCTTAGGTTTGGGGTTTGTTCCAGGAAACCGGCCGGGAGGCAGGGATGTGTAGCTGTGTCAGGTTTAGGGTTAGCTCCAGGACAGAGGCCGGGAGGCCGGTATGTGTAGATGTTTTGGGTTTAGATTTTATGGTTTAGGGTTTATGGTTTAGGGTTTAGATTTTATGTTGAGGTTTTCGTGCTTGTCGGGTTCCAAGACGACTCAGGCAGGAACAAAGCCAAGATTTCAAGCATCAAATGGCACAATACTGTTGTGTCTTGTGCTAGAGCGTTCTGCTGTCGAGACCAAGTTGCTTGCCTGCAAAATCTCAACTACACGCGTGTCGTAGTATAGGATGGTATAGGTATGCATGATGCATGTGCATCTCCCTCGGGTCGCAAATTTGCACATGTGCATATTTGCAATGACTTTTCGGGACGGTATAGTAACCTCAAACAAGATCCTGAACCATGTCGAGTTGTGAGAGCGTTAACCATGTAATTTGTCCAAAGGTGCCCGGAGTTGTCCCTTTTGGTCGTCGGGGCATGCAGCTCCTGGGCAGCAGCAACATTCTGAGGTGGAAACCCCTTAAACCCCCACATCCGAACCTTTGCCAGGGCGACATGAGTCAGCGGGGCAGGCAGAAAAGGCTTGACTAGGCCCGAAACTTCCAAAAAAAGGATTTGGCGAGAAGGTACAAAAGGGTTTTGGGACATGCTGGGAGTCTCAGGTGACTAAGGAAGTGATTCATAACGAGGGTTGTAAGTTGGATTATCCGTGCATTTCACCTCCCTCCACTCCTTTTGCCAACACTGCGAGGCAAGACTTCTGTCGCATATGTGAGTGCACTGTCAACCGCTGTTTCTAAAGCCACCCCAGGCGGCCACGGTCCCAACATTCTGCCAAAAGAGGCACGAGACCATTGCAAACAGAGTTAGCCTAACCCCACACAAACTCAGCTAAACCCTAATCCCTGAACCCCTCAACCCTTACTACACCCCAAAAACCCCCAAACCCATGATCCTACAACTTCAACCCCAAAACCCCAAAAACCCCAAAACCCATAGCCCTACAAGTGAGCGCGAAGGTTGGAGCAGCTGTGTGCCATCGGCGAGGCATGTGGCTGTGGCCACCATGCATCCCGATCCATCTCCGGCAAAGTTTTCGAGTACATTATGGTAGCTTCTGGTATATTACTTATAGTACGTTATAGTATATCACAGTTTGTTATAGTATATTTTGGTATCATAAGATCTTAGAGCATGTGTCGGTATGTTACAGTACAGATATAGTAGAGTATAGCATACATCATGGTATCTTACAGTATGTTATGGCATAATACAGTGTAGATATTGGTGTATATTAGACAGCCTTTTGATTTTTGAACGACCCATAAACCGTTTTCAAACCTGCATCAGCCAGCGTGGCTCCTTCAGCTTACCCCTCAACTCAACGATGTTGCTTTTCTGTCTGTCGTTCTTTGGTCCGTGCTCCTGCAGGACGGATGGTTGGCGAAAGAGTGCAGAAAAAACAGCACAGCCGGTGCCTGCCTCAGCATCGCAAAGCAGTCGCTCAAAGCTTGGCACCGATCACGGAGCACGAACAACATAAACCTCAGCCCTAGCTAGCCAACTACCCATCTACTTGCAGCTACCGAAAAACGGGCATATTTCGAGTGAGGCCCCATGAAGGCATAGTTCCAAGGTGAGGAGATGAAGGAAGACCTGTATGCCTTGGATCGCTTCTTTGTGAGACCTGTCACGGCTGGCCTTAATGACGAGTCTGCTTGGCCCGTGCCTAGGCTGCCCATAGTTTCGTTTTGGTGTTTGGGCCTGGGTTGAGCATTTCGGGTTTAAGGGTTTGGGATTTCAGGTGTGGGCTCTGCTGAGGTTCTCGTCATTCCTTTGGATGTGCTGACGACAGCGGTGATCCCGGGACGACCGCAGGAAAGTATATCCTTTTCTCAACTGAAGAACCCAATCGGCTTGCACTGTGATTACTTCGTGAGTCATTCTTGGTCGCACCCATTCGCGAAGACGCTGGTTGCCTTGGACTGCTGCGCCAAGTGCTGTCAAGCGGAAGTCCCGAAAGTCGCTTTTTGGATATGCCTCTTCGCCCTGTACCTGGCTCCTGTTGCGGTACCTTTTTGGTGTTAGCAACCAAATAGGGGATCTATAGTAAATAAAGTAGCCTATCACTGTATCCTAGTTCAAGTTCGTGGCAACAACACAGGAACCAGCATGACCTAGCCGGCGAACTTTCTGGTTGCGAACTGGAGAGAACGCCCTTCGCATACGGTCTCTCCAAGGCAGAGAAAGGAGCTGTCATGGTGCTGGATGAGGGAGTGGAGCCATTCAGGAGAATCTGGTGTTTGTACGAGGCAAGGCATCAACAACCGCACCGGCAGTAACCGGCGGTAGAAGCATACGTACGTATGTATGTATATATATATATGTATGTGTGTGTGTATCTATGTATGTATGTATTTATGTATGTAAAACGTTTGTAGAATAGTACGATATAATTACGACTTTATGTGTGTATATATAGATACATATGTACACGTATGTAGATATGTATACACATATGTATATACGTGTATAGCTATATATCTCTATACATACATACATACACACACACACACATATATATATATATGTATGCATATACATATATATATATGTGTGTGTACATGTATGTATGTATCATAAATACATATATACATATGCCGCAGACCTACACATACATACACACATCCTGTACGCATGCATGTACATATGCACGTATGTTTGTTTGTGTGTATGTATATGTATGTGTATATATATATACATATTTAATTATTTATGTGTTTGTTTGCAAGCATGCGGGTAGGTAGGGAGGCAGGCAGGCAGGCAGGCAAGCAGGTAGGTAGGTAGGTAAGTAAGTAGGTAGGAAGGGTCGGTCGGTCGGTAGGTAGGTAGGTAGGTAGGCAGGTGTGTGTGTATATATATATACACACACGCCTACATACACACCTGCATATACATATGTACACATGTATACTGTGCATGTATATGTTATGATCAGCCTCTTATGTTGAGAGTTTTTGCTGTGTGCCGGAAGCATCCGGAAAGGTGCAACGCGCCTGGGAGCTAGGCAAGAACCTGCAGCTGATCACGGACTGTCCCGAAGGCTGGAGGTTTCTTTGGTGTCATGGCTAGGGTTAGGAGCTGAGGCTAGGGTTTTAAGTTTAAGAGTGTAGGAGTGTAGACTGCTTGAGAGCGAGAGGGTGCAAAGATGATTTCGGAGCCTCGAAGAAGCACAAGCATCTCCTGCCTGCATGCACAGGCAGTGCAGAGGAGCTGGAAGTCTCAGGCCAGTTCGCGCTGACCGTCGCCGAGGAGCTTCAGAACCTTAGCGCCTTTGATGCGCGGTCAAGTGCGCGCCTTACTTGTCATGCAAACGGTTGTCAAGACAGACGGTTCCAGCAGAATTGGCATTGGCACGTTTACTCTGCTGACAGCTCTGCTGCGGAGGTGATTTGAGTGACAAGATCAGCATTTGGCACAAAATCATGAACGCGTCCGTGAAAGCCGCCTTTCCCGTTGACATCTTTCGCACACACTTTGCGACGGGAGTATGCAGTATCCGTGGCTTCGGTAAAGCGTGGTTTACTGAGTTTGATGCAGGTGTTTGCAGACTGCTGGCAACACCCGTTTTCAATCTCAGCATGTCCCAAGCGGACCACGAAATAGCCTTGAGATATCTTGGACTGGGCGCCCAGTGTTCGCTGGACGATTTGGAACGCCTTTCCAAAGGCATTGTTGCTGCAGATCTGCCGCCCCTCTCCCAGGACAGGCCAGCAACAGCCTAGGCTCTTCCGGCCCTAAACCCTAAAATTGAGGCCCTAATCCCTAAACCCCCTGGATTGTCCGAGTTGCGAGAGTGTATATAACCCCTAGACCCTAGTTGCGAGAGTGTATCATCCCTAAACCCTGAACCCTGGATTAGGATCCCTACACTCCTAAACCCCATCACGATATAGGGTTTGGGGTTTCGGGCTCAGCATCCCTAAACCCTAGACCCCTAAACCCCTAAACCCTAAAACCCTAAGCCCTAAGCCTCCGAGCGTTCCTTCGAAGTGCTCCAGGCTTGGATTAACAATCCCTCCTGCGGTCACTGCCAGCTGACTCACGTCTACTCTCACTTTGGCAGCTGTGACCTCTTGGAGTGTCTCTGTCTTACAAGTAGTTGGGATGAACTTGTTACATGTTTATGAGTACTTAAACCTCCGCAAGGCATTGAGATTCAAGTTCTAATGCTCTCCGAACCGTAACCGAGGTACCTCTTCAAAAGGCACGCGGAGCCTCGGATCAGCTTCTGTGGTTTTCTTCTTCGTCCACTGGAAAGGCTTGAGGATTGTGATTTTAAATGAGGGTTTAGGGTTTAGGGTTTACACCAGACATGGGCTGAGGATCCTACACAGGAGACGAAGGATGTGAAATACAGGCAGCCGCTACACTTCGCAGCGAAAGCCGGCCATCTTGATTGCATCCTGTCATGGCTGCTTAGACCCATAAGCCCTGGTAGAGGGGGAGGCTGCAGCTGTTTTCACACCGACTCGCCCCATGGATCTCGCCTGGATTGTCCGAGTTGTGAGTGTGTGTAAACCTTAAGCCCTAATCAGGAAAACCTGCAATGCGGGCTTGTCCTAGCAAGGTGGGAGGCAAAAAATCAGGAACAACACAGCAAATGATGGTTTAGGGGTTTAGGGTTTTAGGAGTTCAGGGTTTAAGGTTTAGAGTTGAAGCCGTGAAGCCCTCTGAAAAGCAAGTTCAGGCACCAGGCTGCTGCTTGAATTCCGGGCGGAGGCCCACTGCTGTGACAAGAGGGGGGAGACACCGCTGCAGATTGCAGCATACGGAGGACTCCCAAGTCTAATCTCTCAGGACTTTGTGGCCTTAAACCCGATAAGCTCCTAGTCCAAACAAGCCGCAAGTGCTCTACCTAAGCATGCAGGTTCGCACTACGTAGCAACGCAGGATGCAAAACCAGCTAAGACTGTGAGCCACACAAAGCTTGTCTCGAACTGCCCTAAACCCGCAGCCAACAGGCACTGTAGCCATTAATGGGCCCAAGAAACCCTATCCGACACTGCTGCAATCCAGGACATCTTGCCGTTGCTGAAGAGCTCCTCGAGTCAAAGGCAGGACTTCGGATTCAGGGTTGTTTGGGCTTCAGGGTCGGAAGGCTTACGGCTGCAACGGAGCAGGGGAGTAGGGTAAGGTTCCAGGGTTTAAGCTTCGGGGTCTAGGGCTGGCGGCAGTCAGAAGGGAATATCCGAAGATTAGGGAATTAGTTGTCCTGTCTAGATAGATTCGACATACTTATACTACAAGCGATGACAAGGAGGGCTACGTTCCCTAACTAAGGTACCTCTAGAGTCTAGAGGTTACTTAGGAACCCACCGGATTTTGAAAGGCACTTGCCAACTCCTCGGATGGCGATGGTTGGACGCCCCTGATTTGTGCAGCAAGGGCCGGGTACGACGAGCTGGTGGAGTTGCACGGCCACGCCTGGAGGGTTAAAGCAACTCACAGTTGTCTAATGTTATGCATAACTTTGACACACAACATCGTCGTAAGTCTCAACGTGTTTCTTACATGTCTGCACGTTTGCATATCTCATGTCAGGCTCAGGTTATGTATGTATGAAATTTTTGTGCTGCAGAACTTCCACGCTTTGCTTCCTGCGGCCTAGTCAAAACGGAAATGTCTCGTTTCTTCCTAAACATTAAAGCTCGGACCCTCAGAAGCCATGCCTGCCTTGTGCTTGTGCGTGAGTCGAAACCCTAAACCGAGGTTTACCTAGGGGTTGTTGGGGGTAGGGTCGGCTTCTCGCAAACCAGGGTTTAGGGTCTAGGGAGGCTTCTTTCGCGAGTTTGGCGTGAGGCAACTTCCCCTGTGCAGCCGAAGCGGTTTGTCGATCGGGAGGTTGCTTTAGCCCTGAACTTGCACACGTCTTTCGAGCACAGTTTCCCTGCAGTGCGACATAGAACCCCAAAAACAAAACCCTAAATATATAAGCGAATGGGAAAACACCGAGGCTTCTCATCACTCACAGGGCGAATCTGAGGGCCGTGGATGGCGCCGGGCGCTCTGCCCTCAAGCATGCCCAACTGGCTCAGCATGCCCAGGTCAGAGCCAAACTGACCGAAGCGATGCGATCAAAGGTTGGACAAGATCAACTCAAGGAAGGCCAACTAGCAGAGGAAGATGAGGATGAGGAGGAGTTGCCGGAGGCAGACCTTTCGATTCAATCACTCTGCTTGCAGAGCCATGATCGTTGAAGTTCAGCTGCCAAGCAGCTGGAACCAAGAATCTTTCGATGTTCGAGTGTCTGCAGCGGAAGAAAAGGCGCGGCCAAAGAATAACAAGATTCTCGCGAGTTTGAGTGGTGAGAATGGTGTAGTCCAGCTCCGTCGGCTTGCAGTGCAAACTTCTGAATAATGTTCGCCATGACACATGCAGAAAGCGAAGCTGTGCAGGTGGATTACAGCTCTGCGGATGGCCGCCTGCTCATGACAGTGCATCAAAAGGCAGCTGACCTGAACCTGTTACATCATTATATAATCGATTTTGTATGGTACTCACACTTGTTTGTTTGTTTGTTTATTTGCTTATGGAGATGTATAAAAGTATGGGTATATATATATACACATACATATACATATACATACACATATACTTATGTATATACACACATACATATATA